TTGTTGTTAGAGTGAAATAATATTTGATGAGTGGATAGTCATCTCTTTATTGCTACTTGCTTCTAGTTGTTTAGTTTCTTTTTGTTTTTGCCTTGTAATACTACAGGCAGGATTGGGAGAAACTAAAGGGATCGCTGTCCTGTTGGTTGAAGAAGGTATGTTCAGGTATAGCACCAGTGTACTACTTATAAATTATAATGTACTAGGTGATTTTCCCGTGCTCATGCACGGACATAAATATTTATAAAATAAATATATTATAATATTTTATAGATATTTACTTTAAATTTAAAATTAATTTATAGTTTGTAGGTATAATTTATATTAATAATATTATATTAATTTAATTATATATATAATTTTAGATATATTATATTTCGTCAGTTTTATTGTTTTTACGGTTAATTTAGTTATCATATGCATATATCAGCTTCTATCTATTTCTTTGAATTCAACTATAATCATTTTTATTCTAAATTATTAAATTTTTGATTAATTGGTTTATTTACATTTATGCCGGTTGTTATCTTAGAAATATAAGTATATTTATAAGATTATGTATAACTTAAGATTTTTTGTGCTTAGAAAGAAAATAAAACTAAACTGTGTGATTCTAAATTACATACATAAGTAACTAATAAAATTTTGAAAGCTTATGAACACATATCAATATTTACAATATTTAGATTGATTGGATGGTAAACTGAAATTTATTTTAAATACTTTAAAAATAAGGATTGTGATTTGCTTAAGATATTTGATTATGGTTATATTAAGTTCTACAAACATAAAAACAGAAATTTAAAAAATCAAAAGAGTTATTAAGAAAACATATAATTTTAACTATTAAAATATAATATATCTACTTCTTTAAATTATATAGTGTTATGATATTTTAAAATAATTTTAGTTATTTGATAAAAAATGTTTATTATTAAAATTTATTTCTAGTTTTGTTTTTAGTATCTCTTAAAATATGAAGTAAAAATATTATTGTTTTGGAGAAACTATATTATATAAGTAAAAAAAATTTTTTTCCTGTAATTGTAAGATTTTATAGTCAAATAAATATACTAAAAACTAAAACAATATTTCAAGAATAATAATTATAAAACAAAATTGTCAATTAAACATATATCAGTTTATGTTACTTAATTATTTTATGTAATCATCTAATAAAATAGATAGATATATAAAAAAATAATTACTTTGAAAATATATATATTTAATGTTTAAAATTATTTTTTTTAAAGAAAAAAACTATTTATTTTTCTAATATCAAAATTAGTTGTGTAAGCTTTTTTTATGGAATCACATTATACACAAATATTGTTTTTCATCTATGAAGATATATATACAGTATTTTATTACTTCAAAAGTATATTTTATGTTATTTAAAATATATTTAAATTAAATATTACTATTTTGTGAACTTTCCTTTTTTATGAAACCATATTTATATATTATATTTTTGTTTTAAATAGTTTTGTAAACTGTATAAATGTTTTCTTTTTATTTTATATTGTTATTTGGAAATTTTTAAAAGTAAATAATAATATTTAATTCTATTTTTAATTTATTAGGGGTATCATAGTAATCAACCAACGTGATGGTTAACGTGAGCGCGACACATAAGAAAGTGACTTCTCAAATAATATTATAAAGATTTATCGCTTAAATATACATGTATTTTTATAATATTTATCAAATTATACGTTAATTTCTAAACAATATTAGAAAATAAAGTGTAACTGATAAATTTTTGAATGTTCATGAACATATATATTTTCATTATTTTGAAAATATATTTTATGTTATTTAAAAATATATATTAATGGGGATATTACTATTTTGTGAACTTTCCTTTTTAATAAACTCATATTATATACATATAATTTCGTTTTTAATGTTTTTTAAAAAAAATTAGAAATATTTCCTTTTTATTATATATGTTATTTGGAAAAAGGTAAAAAGGAAACTAAATAAAAACATTAATAATAATCTTAAAATCTAACAATTCATTAAGGGTATCTATGTAATCAACCATTGCGAGAGTTAACGTGAGTGCGACACGTAGGAAACTGACTTCTCAAATAATATTATAGAGATTATATAAGTAAAATATAAGTTCTAGATAATTTTTTGTAACTGAAAGATATTATAGTCAACTAAATATATGAAAAATAAATAAAAATTCATTAATACTAATTATAAACTATTTTATTACTCTAAAAGTATATTTTATGTTATTTAAAAATATTTTTAAATGTATTATTACTATTTTGTGAACTTTCATTTTTTATGAAATTATATTATATATACATATTTGTATGTTATTTAAAAATATTTTTAAATGTATTATTACTATTTTGTCAACTTTCCTTTTTTATGAAATCATATTATATATACATATATTTTCGTTTTAAATTTGTTTTTATGACTATATAAAAAATGCTTTTTTATTACATATCTTTTTGGAAATTTTTGAAAAGGAAAAACTAAAAATAAAAGAATTAATAATATTATTTTCAACTATTTTTAATTCATTAAGGGTATCAATGTAAACAACCATCGTGAAAATGAACGTGAGAGCGACACATAGGAAACTGACTTTAAAAATATTTTTAAATAAATGTATTATTACTATTTTGTGAACTTTCCTTTTTTATGAAATTATATTATATATACATATTTTTATGTTATTTAAAAATATTTTAAAATGTATTATTACTATTTTGTCAACTTTCTTTTTTTATGAAATCATATTATATATATACATATATTTTCGTTTTAAATTTGTTTTTTATGACTATATAAAAATGTTTGTTTATTACATATCTTTTTGGAAATTTTTGAAAAGGAAAAACTAAAAATAAAAGAATTAATAATACTATTTTTAACTATTTTTAATTCATTAAGGGTATCAATGTAATCAACCATCGTGAGAATGAACGTGAGAGCGACACATAGGAAACTGACTTCTCAAATAATATTATAGAGATTACTACCATACCACATAATGTACAACTCTTGACTGTTGTTTTTTTTTGTATTTGTCTTGTTTTTAAGCCCTTCTTTAATTTCGACGAAGTTCCTCCCATTTACGCTTACAGAGACTCTGTGAGGTAAGTAGATGCGTCTGCTGATTGTGCTTTACTTAAAAATGTCGGAGATATCATGTTCTTATTATTAGCTAGGCATGATTTAGTAAACAAAGTCGCTTGCGTGGAAGTGTAAAGGCAAAGAAGCAGTTGACTCTATCCCCACCGACTCCTGAACCAACTTATCCCTTTGAATTTATGATATATCCGACATGTTATATATGTTTACAAGTTACTTTAAAGTTTAAACTCATTTTACTAGTCTGAGAGACATATCTTAGCTATTAGAAATTCTTGTTAAAGTTGTACTCGTCATAATATGTCATGCATGTGTCATATAAATGCTCCTCTCTTATTTGCTTTAGAATTTTAAGCTTTTTGATTTATTTGTGTTCAACAGATCCTTTTTGGGTGCAAGGAGCATCTACCCGAAGCTCTCAAAGCTTGCTCTCTCTTGCATTAGAAAAGGTTCAAATACGAGATCATTATCTTTATGATGTTAATACTTGGTATTGATTATGTGGAAACATTTCTGATTCTTTCCAGAAATCTGTTGGTTACTTCTATGCTATCTATCAGCATGAAACCGCAATCACGAACCACTAAGGAAGCTAACGCAGCAACGGAAGACGTTGTTATCTGACAGTAAACATATTCTCTCCTCAATGCACGAGTGTCAAGTGTAGGTACCCAAAGACTTTCATATGTATATTTATGTTTAGTGTTTTTTTTTAATTCTCAGTGGGATTACTTAGTTGTTGTTTTAATTTCGAGGGGTTGTCTCGATGTTGGTGCTTGTACGAATAATGTTGCTACATTATGTTCAATGATTATTTTTATTTTAGGCATTCAGGGGAGAGATGTTTCGTGTCAGATAACATGGTCATGATTTATATAAAGTTAGAAGGACCAACGACTTTATCATGACCATATTATCTGACACTTAACATGTGAAGATTTTCCAAATGAAGAAGAGAATTACCCAAAATTCGTCAGGCTGTTGATTAATAAGTTTATGTTCAATTGGACTAACGAATTTGGGTCATTCTCTTGTGTATTTGGAAGATCTTCACATGATGCAACTTTTTATCATTAGAACATACAATGAAAGCTCTCATGGCAGCATGTCCAAAATCCAAGTAATAATCTTAAATGAGTCTATTGTATATAATCACCAATTCACAATGAAAGGATGATTCATTCCCTTACAAAATTAGCTTTTCCTGTATGTGATGTTTAGAATGCATTGGGTTGGGAAGAAAGAGTGTCACGTGACACGCGTAACCTATGACGAACGCCTGAGATGAGGAAGTATAACTTTAACATCATCCGGATATCCCCAAAATAAAAGTCAAATGTATCGAACCGGTTTGCTTTGCAATTTGCTCTTGCTAGATATTTATTAAGAAAAAATGACTAGAATATACCTAAAATTTTTTTATCATAAATATAGATTTTAACAATAAAAATGATCAAAATATCATTTAAATGTTTTATTAAATATATATTTATATTTTTAGGTTAATTAATCCTAAATTTTTTTGTTTAGAATTGGGGTTTTGGAGATATGGTTTCAAATTTAAAAAAATTAAGAAAATTTTAAATTTTCAAAATAAAAAATGCTATTTTGGTCATTTTAATTTTTAAGGTCTATTTTTGTGATGAAAACTCAAAAGAAGGTTATTTGAGAGAATTTGGAGAAGGGAAAGTAGTCTTCACGTAATTATGGGCCTAGTATTGGATGTGGCCCATATGCTTTGAGCCTCATAATCATCCGAACCACGTGTTAAAAAATAGCAGGGAGGTATAAGGGGAAATACGTTTAATATTTGTCGGAATCTTTCTTCTTCTTCGTCCCCAAATCAATTCTAGTCTTTGTTCGATTCTGTCGGAACAATAATGAAACCGGAGGAGGATGCGAAACGAGCTTTGACGGAGGTGGATTCTGACTCGTCCGTCTCAAAAAAAACGAAGATCGAAGACCAAGACGAGACAAGCATGGAAGAAGAAGAAGAAAGCGAGAGTGATAACGAAGGGTTATGGAGTGTGGACGGTGATGACGGGGCGAGTTCTCCGACGATTAACTATTTAAACTTTCAAGATCCGGAACCGGAGTGGGATAAGGACAGTTACGATGGCTACGAATTGGAATTCGATCATGATGGTCGTGAATGTTTCTCCAGCGACAAGGCCTACGCAGAGTTCCGCGAGTTTAAAACCAAAGCCTTTCAGAATAGGGTAAAGTAACTAACTTGAATGACTCTTTTTTTATTTTATTTTATTTTTTTGAATTTTTTTTTAATATATTTTGTAGGGGTTTTTAGAAGATCCATATAGATCTATCTTCCCCATTAGGGATCTGGACGATCTCTGGACAACCACGACTAAGAGGGAATATTTGACAAATATTGCTTCTGTGTGTGTTAAGAAACTCAACGAGCAGGATGTGAGTAGTAGAGTACTGATGATCTTTGTTCAACTATATATATCAACTTTTTCTGATGTATGTTTTTTTTTTTTTGTACTTAGACTTCCAAGTGTGTAGAAGTTGTAAGCATTGTGAGAGGCAATCTTAAACCAGGAGGTGGGTGGAAGCTTTACATCACATTTATGGCTCGAGAGTATCCCGATGGTCCTCTGGTGGAGTATCAAGCCAAGGCTATGGATTTTGCAGGACACAAAAAACCTGTCTTTCCCATTCTCTGCAGACCTGCCTCTAGCATGCCCTAATCATCTATGACTTACATAAGGATGAACAGTATGACTTACATAACTTTTTCTTTCATGGTTGCCTTGAACCATATGCCTCGGAGAGACAAGAGTTTGAATATGATAAAGCTTTGAAAACTGAGATCGAATATAATGTGTACTATGAGAAGATACATTCTTGGATTTTGATCTGAGGCATACTGTTTACTATATATATTAGTCTTAAGAAGGTTTCTGTTTTATCACTCACTTTATGTAAGTGGACGTTTGGACTATAAGGTTGATGTTCCAAATCGAAGACAAAAATATTGGATGCTGTTAGGAATAAGTTATCTCAAACAAGAAAGCTGTTTCAAAGGATTGTTGGATGTTGTTAACATTTTTAATTAAATGGACAAACAAGAAAAGGACAACTTTTCTTTCAATGGTCGCAATAATAGAGTTAAACAACGTCTTGCACCTAAAACACGACCACTCGAGTAAAATCTATAACAAAAACACCCGACAAAAGGTCTTAACATATTTAAAGTAAAGCTAAAATCTACAGTTAGACAAATTAATTGACCAAACAAGCCACTAATTTACCCGCATATGTTTTCTTGGCTTTTCCAATTCTCAAAATCAAAAAATCAGAAAGGCTTCGAAAAAATGGTAGAGCACAGATACAGTCAAATTTAATGCGTCTGCTCAAGTCTTTTTACTCATTCCAAAACCTACCAAAACGGGAAAACTTTCTTCTTGTTGCAGATAGACTTGTTTTGTTTTAGGAGTCCACCATCTCGTCTTGAATCTCATTAGGAGCAACAAGCCCAGGAATCGAAAGCATTCTTAGACGCTCTTGCTCTCTCTGTGTTGCTGCTTCCTCAGCGTAGAGATCTTTGTTATCCTGAAAGTTGTAATAGTATTGAACAAATTAGTCTTTTGAGTTATTAATAGCAATTGAATGGATGGCTTAGTCAAAGATAAGTTGATAATAACCTGAGCTGAAAATTCCTTAGACTGTACAAGGAAGTCACGAATGTTTTTCTTGAATTCAGACGGGTCATTTCTCGACTCGTAGAGTCCATTCACAAATTGTGTGACCTGTTTATTAATTGATATAGCAATATCAGACTTGCTAAACAAGAGTCAACAAGAAAACTACGAAAGCAAAACTACTGGTTTACTCACCTCTGCTGCAGTCATGTTGGGGAATGAAGAGCTCAATAGCTTAATGGTGTATTCCCGAACAAAGGCAGCGTTGTTTGGATAAGGGTAAGGTACTGTTGCAGCATCCCACAAAGGTTCAGTCAAAGCACCACTCTCAACCTGAATTTTATTAATCATCAAACGTCTAAGCGTATAGATTTACTCATTTCCAAAGCATACTTAGGCCAACAATAAGATAATATGGGAGAAGAAGAGAACGTTTTTTACCAGGCAAAACAGATGCTCCAGTACCAGCACATGCAGCTTAAAGCCAGGCTTATGAAACGTATCAGTTAAAACAGCAAATATTTCTTGCTCGATTTGTATGAAGTATGACCGGAAGAATTGATTACAAAACTCAGATTGCTGTCAAATTCAGAGGCAAATGTTAGACCAAGTGCCACACAACCAGAGAGAGCTAAAAACAAGGGAAACAAACACCAAACCTGAAAGTTCTTCAGCATCTCAATCAAAAGATTAAGCCCAGTTTCAGCGATATTTCTCTCAGTATGTCTAAATGCCCAGATGATTGAATCCATCACTAGCTTCAGTTGCTGATGCAAAAACGACAAAACAGTAAGGAAAGTATCTGAATAATGAGACAATATTTTGAAATAAGGCCATTAGCTCCTTAGATAACACGAAGGAAAAAAATAAATGCAAAATGTATCCACCAACCTGGCTTGATAATTTAATCAAGGCAGGGAAACAAAATGTAGCAATAGCACGGAGTAATGAGAAAAACTTGAGGCGGTGTTCCGGATAATCTTCAAAGTTCTTAGTTATCATCTGCAAAAGGATAAGAAAATGAGAAATGTACATTCAATAAGACCCTCCTACTTCCAACTAAGAATCAAAAGGTGGATGAAAACAAGATTAACTCTAAACTAATTCAAGTCCTTCACCATAGTGAAAGTGCCAAGTCTCCTCGTTTATATGAACATTGTAGTGTGAGTAATAAAGAACAAGGGTCCTAAATTTTATTACCTCCAATGTACACTGGAAAACAGCTTCAAATATGTTTGGCACGTCATCTAACATTGTTGCCTTGTACCTGAAAGAACAAAAGAAAATCATGTCACGTAAATAAGTAAAGTTCCAAATTAAATCTTGTAGAGCACTATTTTTGTATTTATGCATAGATCATTTGATGATTAGGAAGGAAACAATATGGAATTAAGCAGAATGTACACATCCTTAACTACTAAGGCACACGTTAAACAATTAGAGGCATACATACTTGTTTATAATCGTTGCAAAAAGCGAAAGAACTTCAGATTCCCTAGCATCAGGCACATTCCTCGCGTAGTCACAAAGTACAGATTCCATCATTGGAGGCACAAATTGTTTCCCTATGTGTGGTTGGTCTTCAGCTTTGTCTAAAAACGTTTCTATCAGCTTAAGGGTTTCCCTCTTGACAGATCTGTCAAATCATTACAATATATAGTTATTCCAGTTTGTCAAATAGTAGTATCGAGAACCATGTGTATCTGATGCATACAACAAACAAACCTTAAGAGTTTTACAAAAGATGTCTTGGACGCATATGGGCCCCCATCAGTAATGCTGGCTGAGACAAGCTCACTGTACATTCTGGTGCAGCCATGGAGAAATGAACACATCAAAACACATGGAAATAGCTCAACGAGCCTCCCAACTAAAATAACACAAGAAAGATACGTCAACTATTAAAGGCTAGAATAATGTATCATGGATTTACCTGTATACGTTCAGCATATCCAAAAATATCAAGGAAATTTGGGATAAGAAGTCCGTTCCTAGTGAAGTAGCAGCACTGGTGTTCGTCTGCATGGAAAACACATGGAAATAGTTAAACCCTGCAGTAATAATTTATCTAAACACCAGCAGATATACAAACTCGACTATTAAGCCTTTAAGATCACATTATTTGATAAAAAAATGCATTACGAGGAATAAGTAAGAAATCAGACCTGTAGAATATTAAGCACTGTACGTATCACATTTGGATCCTTGAGGAATTCTACACTGTGGCGTGCCTGTCCTATGATTTCTGCCCATTTCTACATTATAAAAGGAAACATTTTTAGCCAACTACGTACAAAAATTTAGCAGCCACATTTTTAATTTACGTACCTCGTTTGGGAGTTCCATCAACCTCTGTAGATATTCATCTCTCTTCAGAGGATCTGATTCCGCATGGATCATAGTACCAACCTGGAGACAGAAAACCCATGAAATCCCAACACAGATATAACTCTGATTAGCAAACTAAAAGCACATCTGGAAAACTTACAGATTCATAAAATGAGTGAATTTGATGAGGCTCGAGATCTTGAACAGTTGCTGCAAGGCCAAATAGAAGTTCAGATACAAATGGTTCCCTCTCTCCAACCTGGAAGCACAATGAACTATATAACTACGAGCTCATTAAGAAGATAATGGAATGATAAGGAACGTGAACTGAACATAATGATACAAACCTGAACAATAACAAATTTACGCTTGCACTTCTGAACTATTTTCAAGAATGTATCACATGCCATGTCCTGAAAGGCAAAAGTAAGTATTATGCAAGAACACTTGGACTAAAAAATTGCTAGCTTGGGCAGATGAGCATTCACTTGCATTCAAGAGGTTATATAAACCTTATTCTCGGACTTTAACAGCTAATAATACATTTTTAATACGAACTTCCACCTTAACTAACCGTATCTCAGAAAATCTAGAGTTTGGGAGCGGTACCTGAACACCAGGATGCGTCTCATGCATAAACTCAAAAAGCTTATTCACAACTGTCTTCAGAAACTTCCAATGGGCCCTTAAAAACCTTGGATACTGACCAACGACATACCTGCAGTTAAGTATGCATAAATCTAGTCTTTTCCCTTGAGAGAAATAGGATATACTACATAATAGAAGTTCAGCACCATGAAGAAATTCAGCAGAATATGAAGGACCAAACTTACATAATGTTGCTAGCAATGACAGCTTTATTGTCTTTTCCCTTGGTAATCTCACATAAGCTTAACAAATCACGAATGACCATGACCAAAAATCTATTTTCCTGAGAAAAGAAAACATGTAACTCGAATCATTCGTTAGCAGAGAATCAAAAGGTTGAACACCGTCCCAGGAAACAGTAAGCAGTCAGTAAATACTGATAAATCATGAAATGTGTGGTGGCAATGCCAGAAAACAATTAAGATTAAATTTCACACTGCCAATCTTTTTGAATAAGATATCTTCAAAGAATTAAAGGTATACTAGCAAATTGATGGAAACGAACTGTATCAACAAATCAGTTTTTGTGAAAAGGAAAAAGGAAACAGTCTGAGCTCTGGTAACAAAATTTACCTGATCTTCTGCCATAGATCCAGAAATAGACCCAATAGCCCAGCATAGTGTATTCAAATTGTTCCATGCCCATTCCTCCCCGTTTAATTGTTTGTTTAGCTTCCTCAACATCTTTTAAAGGGACAATCAGATGTTTAAATTAGCACAATAGCATGAAACAGACTAAAAAACATCTACCATAAAAAAAAAAATCATAGCTAATAACACGTCAATGTTTAAGTTTCTAAATTTAAGATACAACTACAGAAAATTGCATCCATAAACACCATATATGACCATAAACCTCTCCCTTCCCCCAGCTGTTAATCCTCAATATTTCACATATCAACATGCACATACCAGTATAATCAAGGTCACACTTTACCTGCTTCTCAGTATCATCATGATCAAGGTGTGAAAGGTAGATTAATGTCTCCCGCATTATCTGCAATTAGAATATTTCCCAGAATTCATGACACTGCTGGTATATATGATATATCTAACCTAAAGAAGAGTAA